CCTCCGCCCCCGCCCTCCCCCTCCCTCCCCCTCTCCAGCCCCTCTGGCGACACAAACGCGCGCATCTCAGAGGGCCGGTGCGCTGGGCGAGCCTCAAAGACGGCCAGGCGCCCCCGCCCAGGGAGGGGGGAGGGCGCTGCGCGGAGAGGCCGAGAGCCGCGCTTCTCTTCGGCTGCGGCAGGTTCGTGTCGTGCAGACTTCGGCGTTGGTCTCCGACACCGCGAGGATCGTTCAAGATTCGACAAGCGCGCTCCACTGCTCGCAAAGCAGCTACATGGCCTGAATCCGCTGCGGGGGATTTACGATCCGTTACACAAAGGAGGACGTGTTATTTCGGACGTTTGCCGGTAGGCACTTTGCGAATAGTGGAACGCGCTCGGTGAACCACGGGGATCTTTCAACGTCAGATCGTTCAACATCGACCGATTCTGGGTCGCCGGCGGCGTTCAGCGTTGAACGCTGGCGGCGGGGTCGCCGCCGGCCGACACGTTGCGAACTTAGAACACGCTTGTTCATTCGCGGCAATGACGAGCGCTATGGGTGGGGGGGCGGGGGGCGGGGGGGTACAAGGCAGGGGAGCCCAGAATCGAATCGATAAGTCGGATCGGCGATCGAAATAAGTCGGATCGGCAGAAATCGGCAGCCGAGTCGGGAAAAGTCGAATCGGCGGAAATCGGCAGGCTAGTATGCGTCCAATAAGAAATCGGAGCCCAAATCGGAATCCGAAATCGAATCGAATCGGAATCGGAATCCATCGGAGTCGAATCGAATCGAATCGGAGGATTCGAAACGAGCCCTGACAAGGTAACGCCCCCCCTTCCGTGCGTATCCGGCGCCACAATCCGCGCGCACGACGACGACAAGGGACGACGACGACGATGACGACCGACGACGAGTGACAACGACGACGACAACGACGACGACGACGACGACGACGGCGACCACGACGACGACGAGTGATGACAACGACGACGACGACGACGACGACGACGGCGACGACGAGCGACCACGACGACGGACGACGACGGTCGACGACGACGACGGTCGACGACGACAAAGACGACGAGGACGACGACGAGCGACCACGACGACGACGACGAGCGACGACGACGACGACGACGGCGACGACAAGCGACCACGACGACGACGACGGTCGACGACGACGACGGTCGACGTCGACGACGACGACGACGACGACGACGACGAGCGACCACGACGACGACGACGACGACGACGAGCGACGACGACGACGACGACGACGACGACGGCGACGACGACGAGCGACGACGACGAGCGACGCCTCTGGAGGTCTCCGGAGGTTTCCCGAGGCCTCCGGAAGCCTCCTGAGGCCTCTGGAAGCCTCCAGAGACCTTCGGGAGGTCATCCGAAGGCCTCCAGAGGCCCTCGAAAGCCTGCGAAGACGTCGTTGCCTCCACGTGGCGTATAAGAGGTATGCTCCTTACCTCCCTCCTCCATCCCCGTCGTCGTCATTGTCGTCGTCGTCCTTCTCGTCCTATTGTTCTCTCTCCTACGAACACCAGAAATACCTGAGAGCACCGCAACATGCCCGCGACCACCGCTACTATGCGGATCTCTGTGGAGATCCCTATGAGGACCCCTCTGGGGATCCCGGGATCCCTGTGCGCATCTCTGTGCGGATGCTTATGCGGATGCCTAACCATGCGGATCTCTATGCGGATGTCTATGCGAATTGCCATACGCATGTCTATGCGGATCCCTGTGCGGATCCCTATATATGCAGATGCCTCTGGGGATCCCTATGCGGATCCCCACGCGGATCCCTATGCGGATCCCTGTGAAGATCCCTATGCGGATCTCTATAAGGATCCCTGGGAATCCCAGTGCGGATCCCTCTGCGGATCACGATGGATATCTCTATAAGCGATCCCCATGCGGATCCCTATGCGGATTTCTGTGCGGATGCCTATGCGGATCCCTATTCGGGTTCCTATGCGGATCCCTATGCGCACGGCGGCAGTGCGGAGCGTTCCGTTATGGAGGGGGGGGAGGAGGGGCCATAACGCGCGTTATGGCCCAAACAACAAGCAAACACGCATACCGTACAACAAGGTGTTGGCAAGACTGGGATGTGTACAATAACCAAAACTGCCGTCACCCGGAGAAACGCCAGCTCCAGCAGACTGGGTGGTGATGCTGGCTAGTTGTTTGGGCTTCGGGGCCCAATCATTGACCTGCTCCCCTTAGCCAGGGTCCTGGTCAAATCCGTTACACAGCCCGCACCAAAGGTCACTCTGGCGAAGGGCCACTCTTATGTGCAATCGATCTCTTCCCACCTCGTGCCCCTGGGGGGGGAGCCCGGAGAGGCGGGCTGGGGGGAGGGTGGACGGTCAGGACATGGAGGAGTGGATTCTGTGTAGCAGTAGTTCTGTTTTGCAACGAGCTCTGCGGAGCGCCCACGCGCACCGATTCCGCGAGGCATCCGACAAGAGGGAAATGGTAACAACGGCGACGGCCGAGAAGAGGAGTGGTCGGCGGCGCGCCAAAAGGGGGGAAGTGAGAGGGGGCAGACCTGCTCAGAAACCAGCGGGGCTCCGAAGAAGACTTCCTAAGAGACCGTCTCAGAGGGCCCGCCCCTTCCGTCTTTCCCTCCGGGCGCGCCGCCGCAGCAAGGGGAAAAGAACTGGGCGATGATCCAGAACAGATCCAGAAACGCATTCAGACGATCGATGGTCAACGGCGGCGCGAAACACAACGGCCAACGAAACACACCACGGAATGAACGGGGCAAACAAAACGAAAAACGAAACGCGCGCCAAACAACGGTTAAATTCAAAAGCGTTTAAAACGATAGCGAACAACACAACGGAGCAACAACGAAAACGAAAACGAACAACAAAACAAAGGCAACAACCAAGCTAAACAGCGTTGTGGTGGGTCCTTGCGTAGCGACCTTACGCGGCGGCTTAGGCGGGCCACCCGCGCGGCACGCCGCTAGGGAGACGAGGGCGCTTGCTCGCGACCATACGCGGGGAGCTTACGTGCCAATGTCGGTGCAGACGACCCCGTTTTTTTGCGTCGCTCTATTGGAAGCCCATACAGCAGGAGAGAGAGAGAGAGAGAGAGAGACATGTCGGAGGTCCAGGCCTCGAAAACCAGCAGGCGCGCCGCCATCGGATGAGAGCTCTTGCCAACCCGGCTGGAGGCGCCATCCAACCACGGGCCGAAGGAAGGAGATAAAAGGGAGGGATGGCGAGGAGAATGAGGGAGACGAGGAAGGGAGATGAAATAAGACGAAACCAGGGCGAGGATAAAACCGGGTAAGGATGAATCAATAAGCTCTGAGATCCAGCGGCTCTGGAGGACGTATCGGGCACCGCGGCCTTCTCAAAGCGTTCTGGAACGCTCTGAGAGCGTTCCGGAACGCTCTGG